TCAGTACCCCTTTGGACTCACCGGGCAGGTTCTTGCCCTCCTGAGTCTGTCCTTGCTCCCTTGACTGGGAATGTCCTCTCCTGCCCATGTGTCCATCCATCCTTGTCTGGCTACTCTGGGCTTTTCCCCGATATTTGCTCCACTTCTCGAGGACTGCTCAGCTGTGTGGTGTGAAGCACGGTTGCCCGTTGTCTCCTGTGCATCGCTCGTGTTGCTCCATCATGACATGCTCATACACACCCATTGTTGCCTGATCTTAAAGCCCGCTCAGCGCTGGAGCGGGCATCGTGTGGAGGGTGATTGTAAAAGAACCGTTGGGGGGAGCGAGCTTTGCATATACAGTAATGTGTGATGCGAAGACCTTGGCCTTTAAAACCTAGTAAGTGTTCAGCCTGGATGTTGAACTCCTTCCTTCTGCTAGGATGGCTAGGTAGAGCCTGCCTCTTGATAGTACGAATGACTCTTGTTAATACATAGAGCAGGGCTACTGGTGGCCTGGGACCCTCTACTTCTGGGAGCGGTCTTGCCCTTCTTCCCAGACAGGCAGCCTATGTCTGTGCTGCAGGCCAGGCGTTACTGTTTATAGCTCTCACAGGAGTGGGTCAAGAGCAGTCAGACAGAATTCTCAGTTGAAAGTTTTCTCACAGTCATCTGGCTTGGAACGCTAACCAAGAATTGCCTTGAACTCTTGATCTTTTTGCCTCTGCTTCTCGGCTGTTGGTATTACAGGAGTGCCCGCCACAGCTGACTTCAACTGACTTTCATACACATAGGTGTATTTTTATTTTATGTATATGAGCTTTTTGTCTGCATATATGTCTGTACTTTTTTCATGCTTGGTACCCAGGGCCACCAGAAGGGAGTTTTGAATCCCCTGGACCTGGAGTTACAGATAGTTGTAAGCTGCCATGTGGTTGCTGGGAATTGAACCTGGGTCCTCTGAAAGAGCAGCCAGATGGCTCTTAACTGCTGAGCCATCTCTCCAGCCCCAGGTAGCTATGTTTTTCAGACATTTCCTAGACTCTTAAACTTGGATAAACTTTAACATATAATTATACAGCAAGTAGACCCTTATACATTTACAATTCACATTAGATTCTCATCCTAAAATTTCATTCTGTAGCCACCAGCACAGGAGCTTAAGGAAACAGTTATGTGTGATTTGTCTCTGTGTGTCACTCCATATCCTGTGATGTAATGGCAGGGAATGCGTCCGTCGACGTTCAGGATGGGGGTCTACTTTATGTCTGGTTAACCTCACGGGAAACAGGTCTACTTTTGTTCTGGCATAAAACCTTTTTAGTCGTGAGGTGGGAAGTTTCCCTTGGAACAAGTGGTTCTCAACCTGTGGCTTGTAACCCCTTTTGGGGATTGAATGGCCCTTTCACAGGCCCTTTTGATGGTTTGGGCACTCAGAAGGTCATTCCCCAAGCTTTCTCAAAACCTGAGACTATCAGAAAACACAGATATTACATTATGATTCAGAACAGTAGCAAAATCACAGTTTTGAAGTAGCAATGAAAATAACTTTATGGTTGGTCATTCCAAACATGAGGAACTGTATTAAAGGGTCGCAGCATTAGGGAGGTTGAGAACCACTGCCTTAGAAGATTATATGCTACTTTGCATTTGACTTTTTTTTCTGTTTACCTTTTATTTTTATTTATTATTTAATTTTTTTTTCTGGAAACAGGGTTTCTCTGTGTAGGCCTGGTTGTCCTGGAACTCACTTTGTAGACCAGGTTGATCTTTGAACTCAGAGACATTCTGCCTCCCAAATGCTGGGATTAAAGGCAGGTACCACCATGTTTTTGATATAACTTGTTTTTTTGAGATAGAGTCTCTTATCCTTGAACTCTTGAACTCTTGATTCTTGACCTCCCAAAGGCTGAGTTTAGTGTGTGTGTGTGTGTGTGTGTGGTGTGTGTGTGTGTGTGGTGTGTGTGTGTGGTGTGTGTGTGTGGTGTGTGTGTGTGTGGTGTGTGTGTGTGTGGTGTGTGTGTGTGGTGTGTGTGTGTGGTGTGTGTGTGTGGTGTGTGTGTGGTGTGTGGTGTGTGTGGTGTGTGTGGTGTGTGTGTGTGGTGTATGTGGTGTGTGGTGTGTGTGTGTGTGGTGTGTGTGTGGTGTGTGTGTGTGTGTGGTGTGTGTGTGGTGTGTGTGGTGTGTGTGGTGTGTGTGTGTGTGGTGTGTGTGTGGTGTGTGTGGTGTGTGTGGTGTGTGTGTGTGTGGTGTGTGTGTGTGGTGTGTGTGTGTGGTGTGTGTGTGTGGTGTGTGTGTGTGGTGTGTGTGTGTGTGGTGTGTGTGGTGTGTGTGTGTGGTGTGTGTGTGTGGTGTGTGTGTGTGGTGTGTGTGGTGTGTGTGTGTGGTGTGTGTGGTGTGTGTGTGTGTGGTGTGTGTGTGGTGTGTGTGTGTGTGTGTGGTGTGTGTGTGGTGTGTGTGTGGTGTGTAGGAGTGTATGCCACGGTGCACATGTGAAGGTCAGAGAATATCTTGTGAGTATTGGTTCTCTTCTTCTACCCTCCGAGTTCTGAGATTGAGAGCTGGTCGTCAGGCTTGCCCAGGACTGGCAGAGCCATCTCTCCAGGCTCCTAGCTATAACCTTTCAAGGTTGAATCAATTAATTAATGAAGCACGATTAATAAAAATTCAGAGAGAGAAATTGTGGTTCAACCTGAAGATCCAAAAAGCAAAGCAGACAGCCACTGGCTCTTACCTCAACATCAGTCCGAAATGGTGAATCAGCCTTATGGAATCTCAGAATGAGACTGTGTCTGAGAACTGTCTCTTCCCGTTTTATATTCCTCTCTAGGTATGGGATTAAAGGCGTGTACCACCCGGTTTCGATGGCAAACTAGTGTGGCTACTGGGATTAAAGATGTGTGTTGCCATTCCCTGGTCCGTAAGGCTGACCAGTGGAACTGTTTAACTCTCTGATCTTTAGGCAAACTTTATTAAAATACAAATGGAATGCCACTATAAATTAACTTACTAATCGCTAGTGTTGGGTAGTGAACGAAGGGCTTCACGCATGGTAGGTGTGCACTCTGCCAACTGAGCTATAGCCTCCCCCAGCTGCTGAGATTGAATTTTTATACTTTGTACAGTTATCTGGAGATTGATCTAGGCTGGACATTTTGTACCTCAGCTTCCTTTAGCTGATGAAGGCACCTGCAGTGTATCTAGTTTGGGGCTATGAGAATAAAGTTGTTTTGATGTTCCTGTACCTGCTTTTTTTTAAGGTAGGTTTTCATTTCCCTGGAGTACCCAGGAGTGCTTAGCTTTGAAGAAGCTGCTAGTTTCCCTAGTGCTGGTCTGTTGACATTGGCAAGAAAGTATAGGTGAGCTGGGCAGTGGTGGCACGTACCTTTAATCCCAGCACTTGGGAGGCAGAGGCAGGCGGATCTCTGTGAGTTCGAGACCAGCCTGGTCTACAGAGCGAGTTCCAGGACAACCAGAGCTACAGGGAAATCTTGTCTTGAAAAGCCAAAAAGAAAAAAAGAAAACAAGTGTGGGTGAGCGTTCACTGTCCATTGTGAAATGCAGCTCTTGATTTTTATTTTTATTTTCTTTTCCAAGCTTCCCTGTTTCTTTTTTTCAGGGCTGGGGATTGAATCCAAGGCCTCCTGAATGCCAGACATGCATTCTACCACTCAGCTACATTCCTAGCTCCTAGGTGTTTTTTTTGAGACAAGGTCTCACATTGTAGCCCAGGCTGGCCCTGAACTCCAGTGGATCCTGAGTGCTGGATTCATAGGTGTGCACCAGCTCTCTAGTCTGCTTTGTTGGTGCTTTTTTCTTTCTTTTTTTTTTTTTTTTTTGTAGCAGTGTGTGCTACTCTTGTGTTTGTCTGTTTCTCCTGCTCTCCCTGGGGTAAGGTGGAATTTCCCTTGGCTTTTCACTTTGGGTCATCAGTCCTTTTGATGGTTTGGGCACTCAGAAGGTCATTCCCCAAGCTTTCTCAAAACCTGGAAACAGTTAGTCTTCTTCCACTTTCTGAAGAGTTAACCCCTGAGCGCCTGTTCCTCCCTCGCAGAGCTGCGCCCTGCCTGTCTCCAGGCCCTCGCAGCACAGGGTTTCTGTAAGGCAGTTAAAAGTGCTCAGTGTTTTCTCCTTGAGCTTCCCTTCCTGTGCCCTTGTCCCCTGCCCCCTGACTTGACTCTGCTCTTCTAGTCTGCTGCCCTGTCTCCCCACCCCCACCATAAGTACAGAGTTATCTGACTTCTCTGCCAGGCGACAGCTTTCTTGCCAACTGTCAGTGATACCACCATCGGCTTTCTTTTGTGCGGCTAATGCAGGTTCTTGCCCTCTGCATAGCAGTAGTGTGCTCGCCACCTGCTGGGCACACTTGCTCTCATCTCGGAGCCCCTGGGCTGCTGTTTCTTACTGCTCTTGCTGGTTTCTCCACTTTGCCGCCCAGGAAGACTGCCCCCTCTCCCGGCAATCTCTCAGACCTCTGGCTTGGCTCCTCCCACAGTGTGTCTGCAGGCATACATCCCCTGCACTCTAGACTGCCTCACCATTTGCCTCCAACTATGCCTCTGCCTACCTCTCTCCCTGACTCTTTCGTTACAGCACACACACAAAAAAAAGTTTGCTGTGCATTGTGGCACTCGGCTTTCTCTTCTTCTGAAAGTCCTTTTTTTGGTGGTGGTGGGGGGCTGTTACAGCACTTTCATTGAGTCTGTCTGACACACAGTAGTTAACTGGTGTATCCCTTTAAGGCAAGAGGACTGTCAGTTCTGTTAATCAAGTTTGTCCACTAATCTTGTTTGCCCCAGTCTCTACTTTATACATATTGAGTAAGCAAATAGTGGGTTTAATTTTTCTTAGGAGGGGTGGTCTCACAGCCTTGGCAAGGCTGGCCTTGAACTTTTGATCCTCCTGCATCACCCTCCCACAGGTCTGGGTTTATAGGCCCATGCCACCAGGCACAGCCTGCGTGTAGTTTTGATTGTCATGGGTTCTCTGAATCACTGAGGTCAGTTGGTTTCCTTTTGTAGCTGCTGTCTTTGCTGGCCTTTATCTGTGAAGAGGTTGTGTCCGAGTGCACGTTGTGTGGAGGCTTGTACTTCTTTGAGTTTGTGAGCTGCAGCGCCTTTCTCCTGAGCCTCGTCCTGCTGATCGTGTACTGCACACCAGTGCATGACAGAGTGGATGCTGGGAAAGTCAAGTTGTCGGTAAGTGGGGAAGACAGCCCGAGTCAGGGTGCGCGTCTGCAGTCGTCCTGGTTTATTGGTACAGCGGTGATGCTTTCAGAGCAAAGCACCGGGAAGAATGGTGTCCATGTTCTAGCTCTCTGCATCCTAGCAACTTGAGCTCCACTTCACTGACGGAGACAGGAAATGAGTCTAGAATGAGAGGGAGAGGCTTCACCTAATTCATGTTAGACATTTCGATGTTGTTTGCTTTAACACAGGGTCTTACTAGCCCAGACTGGTCTTGAACCTGTGATCCTCCTGCCTCAGCTTCTGAGTGCTGGCATTGTAGACTTGGGCCAACATGCCTTACTTAAGCATTTTTTTAGAAGTTTGGTTTTGTCACTTTTTGTTTCTTACATTTCAGAGTGTCACTCATTGTCTGTGTAGTTAGGGTTATGTGCCTGCTCCTACCAGGCACCGTGTGCTGGACATGCAGTGGTAGAAATAAGCATAAAACCACCAGTAGTAGTGTTTGCCGAGCATTCACAAGGCCATAGGCTCACTCCCCAGGAAAAAGAAAAAAAGAAGAACCAGATCAAAACTGAAAAAGAGTTAGTTATGGTGGCACATGACCTAGTGCTAAGGAAGCAGAGGCAAGTGGTTAGATCTCTGTGAGTGCAGGCCAACCTGGTCCACACATTGAGCACAGACCACCCAGGACTACATGGTGACACCCTGTCTCAAAAAATATTTTTTTTTTGTGATACACAATTATGTTCAACTTAAAGTTGATAGCGTTTGCATGTAGATATGTTGAAAAGGTACCAGGCTGGCATGTTTAAATTTGGGTTGCACCAAGAACGTGTAAGTCATTCAAGGGGTTTCAAAATTCAAAATGTTAAACTTTGTGTCTGCCTGTCTAACCTGTTGTGTTCTTGTTTCCTCTGCACCTGTAGGATTTCTATATCACCCTGGGAACAGGGTGTGTGTTTCTCTTGGCATCTATCATTTTTGTTTCTACCCACGCTGGGACCTCAGCTGAAATTGCTGCGATCGTGAGTACTTTGCATTTTTAACCTTCCTTATTTTTGTTTCCTTAGATATAGAGGATTTAGGGGCTGGAGAGATGACTCCTCAGTTAAGAGCACTGGCTGCTCTTCCAGAGAACCCAGGTTCAATTCCCTGCACCCACATGGCAGCTCACAACTGTCTGTAATTCTAGCTCCAGGAGATTCAGCAACCTCATACAGATATACATGCAGGCAAAATACTAATACACATAAAATAAAATTAAATAAATCATTAAAAGAAAGAAATAGAGAATTTAGAAAGTTCTTGATAAGTTCTATACAAGAGTAATAATTAGGGGGCTGGAGAGATGGCTCAGTGGTTAAGGGCATTGCCTGCTCTTCCAAAGGTCCTGAGTTCAATTCCTGGCAACCACATGGTGGCTCACAACCATCTGGTGCCCTCTTCTGGCCTGCAGACATACACACGGACAGAATATTGTATACATAATAAATAAATATATAAAAAAAAGAGTAATAATTATTACTTATTTATATTCACGATGCATGTCTGTGAGGCACTCTGGAGAAAAGGCTTGCAGGGTTAGCCCGGCAAGTTGTGATGGAGTGTTTGAGTGAACCAACAGAAGTTGTTCTTCTTCTGATCTGCTCTTCAGTTTTCCTTTGAGTACTTATTTTACTTTTTGTTTTTCTTTTCTTTTTTTTCTGTCTTTCTTTATCTTCTTCTTGTTTGTTTGTTGCAATACTGGGGATTGAATTTAGGGCCTCATACATGCTAGGCAAGTATTTTTTTTTTAAAGATTTATTTATTATGTATATAATATTCTGCTTTCATGTATGCTCACATGCCAGAAGAGGTCACCAGATCTCATTACAGATGGTTGTGAGCCACCATGTGGTTGCTGGGAATTGAACTCACGACCTCTGGAAGAGCAGCCAGTGCTCTTAACCACTGAGCTATCTCTCCAGCCCCTCCCCCCCCTCTTTTTTTTCCAAGACAGGGTTTCTTTGGAGCCTGTCCTGGAACTTGCTCTGTTGACCAGGCTGGCCTTGAACTCAGAGATCCACCTGCCTCTGCCTCCTAAGTGCTGGGATTAAAGGAGTGCGCCACCACCACTGCTGGGCATTATCAACCATTCTTAAAACTAGTACTGTGGAGCCGGGCAGTGCTGTGGCACACGCTTTTAATCCCAGCAGGCGGATCTCTGTGAGTTTGAGGCCAGCCTGGTCTACAAGAGCTAGTTCCAGGGCAGGCTCCAAAGCTGCAGAAAACCCTGTCTTGAAAGACCAAACCAGAAAACAAAACAAAAAACCACTGGTACCGTGACGGGTTCTCTCTGTGGAGTCAACCAGCTCTCACATTCTCTTTACAGTGTTGTAAAAAGCATGCTTGCCTGTCCCAAACTTGCTTCGGTGTGACACTTTGAGTTGTAAAACCCTTTGAGACAACAAAGGGTAGTTCAGTGAAGAGATAGTTATTTGAATCCTTTGGGCCAAGGGTTGTGGGTTTTGTTGTTTTTGTTTTTGGAGACTGTGTAGTCCTGGCTGTTCTGGAACTCACTCTGTAGACCAGGCTGGCCTCAAACTCAGAGATGCGCCAGCCTCTGCCTCCCAAGTGCTGGAATTAGAGGCATGTGCTACTACACCTGGCCCCCTTTATAAATGTGGGTTTGAGGAGATTGAATTCGGTGCTCATGCTTGCAAGGCAAGAATTTAACTGACGGAGTTATCGCCTTAGCCCTGAAACTACATTTTAAGATAGAACAATACAAAATATGTTCAGAGTGCTGAAAGATGGGTCAGCATGGAGAGCATTTGCTGATTCTTCTGAAGACCCAGCTTCAGTTTCCAGTGCCCACATCGCAGCTCAAAACTATCCATAGTTTCAGAGGATCTGACTCCCTGCAGCACCAGGCACCCATACAGGCAAAATACTCAGATGGAGAAAAGAAAAAAAAAAGTAAAATCTTTAAAAAGAAAGCCTTGAGAGAATTGCAGACGTCACCTTGCCAGCCTGGTTTGTAAGGGGATGGACAGATATAGTCAGGCCTCCAAAGGGGAACGGCCCATGTTCGGTAGAGAGTTTATAAATTAGTTTGTGTGGGCTGTGCTGCGCACATCCAGGAAATGAATGGTGCAGAGCCCGGTTTACTGTGTGTGTTCTCCGGGGTGGAGGAGGGGTTGAGGAACCGATGTTAGAGACTCTGAGAGATGACCAGTCATCATGGAAATGTGAGCCAGGTGTGGGATTGCCATCAGTCCTAGCATCCTGGAAACTGAGGCCAGCTACCTAGGAAGTCAACATTCCCCCTCCTTCCCCCTCCACTCAGCACAAAGTCATGGAGGAGGCTGGAGTTGCAAGAGATTTGGTGCTGTTTTCTTCCTGTTTTGTCTCCACTTCCTCAAGGGTTTTGCTAGTGAGGAAGCTAAATTTGAAGCATGGTCTTTTGTCTCTGGACAGAATTCTCAGAATGTTTGGTCATATGTTAGAATAATACAATGAGGAAGTGATTTAGGGAAGAGGAAGTAGGTAGTGACATCATGTCCCTGGGTGACAAGTAACTGGAAAATGTATTTTAGGTCATTTAACCCAGTAGAGTTTAAAAAATGGAGTTTTCCTTTAGATATGAATAGCTTCATCTGTCTCCACCTAACGAGTTGCAAATCACGTTTCCCCTAACACATCTGTGGGTCAGTGAAGCCCTTGCTAATAAGCATGTGTTTGATACCATTTTGTGGAATTTCCTTTATCACTGAACTGAGTCTCATTGATGGACAGTCCACACAGGCTCCTGCATACATGTCAGGTATAGCAGAACCTGAGGCGGTTCAGCTAGTAATGCTGGCCACCACCACAGGGACTTGACCTTGAATCCTTTGAAAAGGCCGGAAACAGGGGTTGCCTTCCTTTTACAAGTTTTGGGGTGGGGTGCTCTAAGGTAAAATACGGCTCCACTGGAGGAACGCGGGATTTGTAGGACATTGGTAAGTAAGTAAGTAGATGCTTCAAGGCCAGTTTGGGCTGGCAGGCTGCAGGGTTGTGTGTCTGGATCCCTTCCATGCTACCTTGACTCCTAAAGTGGCCAGGTTTTAAAGCAACAGGTCCAAGTTTTGCCTTTTCAGACTGGGGTGGAGGGGGAGAGGCCTAGGGGATTGAGATGTTGCCTGGGGTCTGTCCTGCTGTTGTCATGTATAGGTACTAGGGTTGAGACCTCTTGAGAAAATCGGAAGTGTTGATGTGTCTGTGGATAATAGGATAAAGAGGGGGGAATCTTCGTATGTGTGTGGGGGGGGGGTATTTTGTTTGGTTTTTGAGACAGGCTCTCTTTGGTAGCCCAAGCACCTCAGCTCTGTAGAACAGACTGGTCTCAAACTCATGGAGATCCCCCTGCCTCTGCCTACCAAATGCTGGGATTAAAGGCGTGTGCCACCACCACCCGGCAAGTGGGGGGACCTTCTTAATGACTAGACGGATTTTTCATCTTGAGGCAGCCATAGAAAGAGATAGCCGTGTGACTTTAGGCACCCCTGTCCGTATGGTGACTTGCTCGCCTCTGAGTCAGGAGATAGGAGGTAGACATTCAGCCCAGTGTATGTGTGTGTTGGGGGGAGACTGGGTCAAAGGACTGTTGTAGCACGAATTCCAATTGGTCTTAATAATAAAAATCCAGAACCAGATTTCGGGGTAAATGCTGAAAGATCAGAGAAGTAAAGGAGCCAGCCACTAGAGAGACCCTTTACCTCTACCAAATCCTCAGCCCAAAATGGGCAAGATCCTGTCTCCACGACTCCTCAGACTGAATGTAACGTGCTCCTGCTCCTCCTGCCTTATATTCCTCTCTCCACCCAGCCGTATCCCTTCCTATCTCTACCTTCCTAGTGGTGAGATTAAAGGTGTGTGCCACCACTGCCTGGCCTCTGTGGCTAACTAGTAGCTTAGCTCTGCACTCTGATCTTCAGGCAGGCTTCATTTGTTAAATCACAAACAAAATATCACTGTCTTACTTGCAGCCAGCGAAATGTTGAGAGTTATGGTAAGCTGCAGGGTGAGGGATCTATACGTCCGGCCTTGGTGCCTCCTTAAAAGTCTTGTCTGGTAAAGCAGAGGGCTACGTGGGCCACCAAGGAAGCATTATGGTAGATGTGCCTGACAATGGGCGTTCTTGAGTTGTAAGCTTGGAAAATTGGGACATATTCTGGAAAAGGTAGCCTATAAGTCTGAGGCTTCTGCCAGAATAGCAGTGTCTAGAACCAGAGTGAGACTCTGCAGATCAGCACTGGACAGGAATAAGAGAAGCACCTCTCTAATGGAGACCACACAGGCACGGGAAGCTAAAAGGGTAAAGGAAGGGGAGGAGCTCGTTGTTGTGAGAGTGGGTTAAGGTTCCAGGGATAAATAGAGAACACAGTTTCATCTAGAAAGTTCATAGAGCTCCCTTGTAATCAGCAGTCAGCTATGCCAGGGACAGCAAGGGCATCATTATGGTCAGTGTGGCTGGTCACCAGCGCTCACTGAGGAGAGTTTGAAGGAATTCTTTCCCGTGTTAGAGAGGCAGGTAGGGCTGTGAGAGGAAGTGGCCTCATCTGGTTGATTTTTGAATATGAGTTTGAGGTCCTTGAGGTCAGAGGGCTGTGGGGTTGCTTTGAGAGCTTTTCCTCAGGGGTAGAGCCTGGTTTTAACATAGTCTGTGAGCCTGCTTTAACCTGGAAAAATGAATTCAAAAGCTAAGACCCAATAATTCATCAGCAGATGGAGTGAGAAGGGCCAAGAGGGTTAGCAGGGCTTAGAGGTGAGGATTTTAAAGTCGAATTTGTTCCCCAAGAGGATGGGGAGAGGTGGTGAGTCAGAGGAAGGCTTTGGTAGCTGGTTGTTAGCAGTGTGCCTTAGAGTGTCAGGTGTGTGTTGTGGGAAGTCATATGTCTATCTGTTGTTAGCAGTGTGCCTTAGAATGTCAGGTGTGTGCTGTGGGAAGTCATATGTCTATCTGGCTGTTAGCAGTGTGCCTTAGAATGTCAGGTGTGTGCTGTGGGAAGTCATATGTCTATCTGTTGTTAGCAGTGTGCCTTAGAATGTCAGGTGTGTGCTGTGGGAAGTCGTATGTCTATCTGAGGTTAGCAGTATGCCTTAGAATATCAGGTGTGTGGTGTGGGAAGTCTTATGTCTATCTGGTTGTTAGCAGTGTGCCTTAGAATGTCAGGTGTGTGATGTGGGAAGGTCATATGTCTATCTGTTGCTTTCATTGGTTAATTAATAAAGAAACTGCTTGGCCTGATAGGTCAGAACATAGGTGGGTGGAGTAAACAGAAAAGAATGCTGGGAAGAAGGGAAGTGAGGTCAGACACTATGGAGCCAGCCGCCGGGTCAGACATGCTGAATCTTTCCTGGTAAACCACCACCTCATGGTGCTACACAGATTATTAGAAATGGGTTAGTCAAGATGTGAGAGTTAGCCAGTAAGAGGCTAGAGATAATGGGCCAGGCAGTTTTTAAAAGAATACAGTTTGTGTGTTATTTCGGGTAAAGCTAGCTGGGAGCCAGGAGCCGGGCAGCGGGAGGTGGCCCACAGCTCCCTTCTACAGGTGTGTGAGAGCACGGCTGTGTGGGGAAGGGAGAGTCACCTAACACAGGAGCCGCATATTGTCAGAAAGGACTTAGGCTGAGTGGAGCTCGGGGCTGCTCCAAGCATTCACCTTTGCTGCTTAGTTCAGTGCTTGTTTGTAAGGCCGTTCATCTCTCTGCTCTACATGACAGTGGAGGTCTGTTTAGCACTGTGACTTCCAGGTCGCATGGTGAGCTTTGCAGGCTCCCTGTCTGACTTTAGATGTGTGTGCAGGGCTGTTGTCAGTTTGTGTGGTGGCTGGGGGCTTTAAGGTATCCATTCCTATGTCAGTTGCCTTGGATGTGTGATGGAGAGCTTCTGCCCCTTCAGAAGGGCCAGGACTGGTACATGTGTGGTCTTTTAATAGATGCCATCTGAGCAACAACCTGCCAGTCTGGGCCAGAGGTTTGTTCTCTTGGAGCCCCACCTCCCTACTTTCCCACACCCTCAAGGTCACACAGCTCTCCCATTTCTTCCCCCCCCCCCCCACAAGAGTCAGGGACAACTTGACCCTAAGCATATACCATGGACTGTTGTTCACCCACATGGCAGAGAACTGACCTCTTCTGAAACCTACAGGGAGGCCCCCACACTCTGTCTTGCAGGACTGCGCTCTTCTCAGAGCCCCCGACTCTCCGTGGCATTCGTGCCTCCTTAGACCCCAATGTCTGAGACCTGTCAGGTGGGCCCTTCTTGGCAGCTGTTCCTTTTCTTCAGGAGAGGCCTTAAAAGACAGCAGCTAGGAAGGGAGACGGGTGTGTAGCCTGAAGTTCAGCCTTCACGTCAGCCTCGTGTGTCCTAGGCTAATAGGAATTCTTAATGTCCCTTGTAGTGGAGGGTAGCTGCTGGATGAGATGTGTTTGGTGATGTCGGGTAGAAGTTTGGTTGGGGACCTCTGCAGTAGCTCAGAGAGAGAGGAGCAGGGAGACTAGGCCTGTCCTGGGCTGCCGTCTCTTCCAGTGGAGACTAGGCCTGTCTTGGGCTGCCATCTCTTCCAGTGGAGACTAGGCCTGTCTTGGGCTGCCGTCTCTTCCAGTGGAGACTAGGTCTGTCCTGGGCCGCCGTCTCTTCCAGTATAGACTAGGTCTGTCCTGGGCTGCCGTCTCTTCCAGTGGAGACTAGGTCTGTCCTGGGCCGCCATCTCTTCCAGTGGCAGCTCCTAAGCTCGGAACCAGGTCTGCAACTCCGGTAGCATGCTTGCTGAGCGTGCAGCACCACTGGGGTCTGTGCCTGGCACCACACAACAAAAGAGCTGCGTTGTTACCTCGTGGGACTTTGAGTAGTACCTGTTACTCTGGACATTTTTCTTTTGTCACTTCTTTTCCTCATTCAGTGACTTTTAAATTCTATTAAAGAATACTAAGTGTGGAGCTAGAAGGATGGCTTAGCAGCTCAGACACTTACTGCTCTTCTAGAGGACCAGAGTTTGGTCCCCAGAACCCATATCAGTGGCGCTATCCCACCTCCAAGGGACCCTGGGTTCTCTTTAGGCCTCCAAAAGAACCCACAAACATGTGGCATTCGCTCCCCAGACAAATACATACACGGAAGTAAAAATGAACATCTTTTTTGGAAAGTAGTTAGAGGGTGGAACGGATATGAACTCTTGGGCTGAGTAGGACATGTGGTTACAACCTGCACTTCCTCATGTAACTCCCCTTTTCCTCCATAGGTGTTTGGGTTTATGGCGAGTCTGGTGTTCTTAATTGACTTTGTCGTCATGCTGCATGAGAGACGGCAGGAGAGCCAGCTGAGAAAACCTGAGAACAACGCCAGGGCTGAAGCCCTCACTGAGCCGCTGAATGCTTAAAGCTGGAGCAGGTGCTGCGGACCAGAAGAGAGCGTCTTCCATGTGACTAGTGTTATGTGTGCTCCTCTTTTGGAGAGAAAGGAAGGACAGGAGGGCAGCTTCTCAGTGCTGGACTGAGTGGCAGCCCCTCCAGTTAGCTCAGAGGGTTTTTAATAACGGTTGGAACTCGTTTCAAATGGAGGAGGTTTGTTATTTGTTTATTTTTAAAGACAGGACTGTTGTCTTTGAATTGCATGTCTGTCATTTGCTACAGGTCAGCCCTCACCAGGCCTGGCTTCCAGACCGTGTGTTCTCCGTCCTTTCAGAAACTCTTGCATTTTAAAATCATTCGCTTTGCTGTTAGTTTTTGGTAGTTAAGTTCTGTTCTGATGTTGGAGATTTAATTTGTATTTAAGTTGTTGGTGTGGGCGTCTTTCCTTAATATATGATCCTTGTATTTACTGTATCTTGTTCAACCGTACATTATGTGCTAACCTTTCAAGGCAGTTATTCTGAATTCTTTCTGATCCATGCATTGCCTAACAGAAAACGCGCGGGCTGCTGGTGTTTTATGTGTACAAAAGCAACAGTGTCAAAGCCTTGTGCTTTTTAGATTGCACTCTGGTTGTTGAAATTAAGTTTAAAAGAAAAAAAAAGATTGTTATGGAATGCAGAAAAACTGAAGAAATTGATACTACATCTAGAGACCAAAGATAGAGTAGACTCTTTGTCCTGTACAGTGGATGTAACTGTACAGACAGGCTGGACCACTGGGGAGAGATGTGAAGGGTCATGCTGTGCACACACGGAAACAGTTGACGATGCCTGCTGTGCGCACACGGAAACAGTTGACGATGCCTGCTGTGTGCACACGGAAACAAACAGTTGATGGTGTCTGTGCTGTGCACACACGGAAACAGTTGACGATGCCTGCTGTGCACACACGGAAACAGTTGACGATGCCTGCTGTGTGCACACGGAAACAAACAGTTGATGGTGTCTGTGCTGTGTGCACACGGAAACAAACAGTTGATGGTGTCTGTGCTGTGTGCACACGGAAACAAACAGTTGATGGTGTCTGTGCTGTGTGCACACGGAAACAAACAGTTGATGGTGTCTGTGCTGTGTGCACACGGAAACAAACAGTTGATGGTGTCTGTGCTGTGTGCACACGGAAACAAACAGTTGATGGTGTCTGTGCTGTGTGCACACGGAAACAGTTGACGGTGTCTGTGCTGTGTGCACACGGAAACAAACAGTTGATGGTGTCTGTGCTGTGTGCACACGGAAACAGTTGACGGTGTCTGTGCTGTGTGCACACGGAAACAGTTGACGGTGTCTGTGCTGTGTGCACATGGAAACAGCTGACGGTGTCTGTGCTGTGTGCACACGGAAACAGTTGACGGTGTCTGTGCTGTGTGCACATGGAAACAGCTGATGGTGTTCATTCTGTGAGCTGGACACTGGGTCCCCTCCTGGCAGATGGTCATTTCTTCTCAAGTGAGCACCACTCTGCAGGCTTCTCTTAGAGTCCTGGGCTGGGTTTGCTCACTACCCCGAGATGCCTTTCCTGACTTTGTAGATGGTCCCTGTGCTGCGTCACCATCTGCCAAGGGAGCCGTCACTCTTGCTCTTTTCCTTCTCACTCAGATTCACTGTCAACTCTCTCCAGGCCGTCCAGACTCTTGTGCCCTTCTTGTCACCAAAAGTCCGAGGTAGGAACCCCTGCTGGTGAATACTGTTGGTGATGCTGGAAGCCACAGGCTGCTCCTGACACTTTGGAAGGGTTGCTTGTTGCTGTAGGGGTACCTTAGAGCCACTGGGGCACCTTTGTGCCCAAAGGGGACCTTTCTTATCTTCCTTCTGGGGTTTAACTGAGACTCAAGTATGTCAAGGCCTTCTGTGCCCTGGTGGAGGTTTCCCAGGCTGGGGTTGAAGACATGTGATCATGTTCCCAGGGATTTACTGTAAAGTTCCCCTCCTTTTTGGTTTCCTGTCTGCCACTGTGTGTGTTCGATGATTTTGGTTACAAGCGTACAGCAGTTGTAGTTCTCAGACGGGGATGAATCTGGGCACACAGCTTCTGCTCTTTCTTACTCACTGCCTGATCTGGCATCATACCTTCTTGATCATGAAACCAATCATGGATGTTGGCCTGCCATCTAAGAGAAGGGGGAGTAGGTTCTTGAAACCAAGAATAAAATAATTCTAAAGGAACCAGTTTATAGCAGACAGTTTTAGAATTTCACATCAGGCTATGCTGTAGTTACTGGAAATACTGTCCAGACCTATGGAGAACTAACAGCAAATCAAGGCAATGTTAGTATTACAAACTGTTAGTCAGCTGTCTGCTACTGTAACAAAATACCTGAGACAGTCAACTTAGAAGAAGCGTTAGGGCGGGAGAGATGGCTCCGAGGTTACAAGTGCTTACTTCTCTGCAGAGGACCTGAGTTCTCATGAGTGCCTGATACTGCCAGGGATCCAGTGTCTTTGGTCTCTGGCACCCAGACATGCATGGCATCCATTCACACATATATACATAAATTAAAGTAAATATTAAAAGTTGAAAAGAAAAAGAAAAAGGAGAGTTATCTTGGTTTGTGGTTTTGTAGGCTTCAGCCCATGGTCAGTCTGTTGTCTTAGACGGCAGCGCATCATGGCGGGGGTCTGTGGTAGAGCATCCAGGAAGCAAGGAAAGAGTGAGCGTGTCTTGAGATCCCATTCCCTTTGGAGGGTACGCCCCCACTGACCCAGGACCTCACACTAGGCCCCGCCTCTAAAGGTTTCTGACACCTCTCGACAGTGCCATCCCGGAGAACTGGCCTCTGAGACCCAGGGCCTGGGGACAACTCACCTCATCAGTGCCCCTCTCTGCCCATGTTTGACTTCTTCAGGAGGAACAGCCACTCTTTCTGGCCTGTGTCCACACATGCAGCAACTTAGCATCCAGTTGTTTACTGTGGGTTTGCTCTGAGATGCCGCGGCTGAGGGCTTCCTCGGCTACTCCTTTCTTTCCTTTTAAGATAATTTGGTCACTTGTATCTGTTGTCACTCTTGGAACTTTCTCTTTTGGAGGACCTGTGACTGCTTGGCTTCTGCCTTCCCTGGGGGGAGATGGGGTTAAAGACTGTGGTACGAATAAGCTCAAGAGCTGGGACCAGAGGTCGCCAGGCAGAAAAGACGTCTTCATTAACAGCTGTGGCAAATTTGATTTGCTGTATTTTATACAAATTGTTTGGAATGGTTTTTAAGACTTAGAAGGGAAATATACTACAGCACAAGACTTTTATAATTACTATACTTAAATTATGCTTTATGTGGGGACCGGGAAATGTATTTTTACATTGCTTATATCCAATCACTTTTGTATTTGTTGATTTAAGCCCGTGGGTCTTTTTTTTTTTATCCCTATTAATACCAACTTTTATAATCTTTTAAAATAAATCCTCTTAATTTCAGTGTTGATGTCTTCACAGTTGTTCAGTGCAGAGACTTGTTTATAAGCCCTTATTTGAGGGGCAGCCGTCGTCCGTGGGTGTGTGGTTGGTGGAGTCTGGAGGAACAGACCTGCTCCCTGTCTGTGGAGGGGATATTTAAACAGCATGTTTGTCAGCCGGTCAGCACAGGGGGCCTTTAGTGCCAGCACTTGGGGCTGAGGCAGGCGGATCACCAGCTTCAGGCTAACCTGGCCTACAGGGCAATGAAAATGTTCTTAGGACCAGCTGTGGTGGAAGAGATCTCTCTAAGTTCAAGGCCAATGTGAGTTACAGAGTGAATTCCAGGTCAGCCACATAAACAAATGAAAACAAAAATATTTTTTAGGGCATCACATGGGATGACTGAATGGCTTTAAATCCCTTTGCCTCCTCTTTCTCCTTTCTATTCCTTTCTCCTCTCCTTTCTTCTGTTTTTTTGTTTTTTGTTTTTTTTGTTGTTGTTTTGTTGTTATTGTTTTTTGAGATAGGGTCTCATGTAGCCCAGGCTGGCTTCAAACCCACTATGTGAATGAGAATGACTTTGAACTCCTGATCCTTCTTGTCTTCACTTCCCAGATTCTGGTATTATAGATGTGTGCTTCTCCACCTAAGTAATTTAAAAGAAGCAAGTTTGGACTCTGCTTCACATTCTAGATGTGACTCGGTGCTATAGACAGATAGATGTATCTGTGATAACCAGAAAGTGTGAAACAGAGCCGGAGGTTCTGCTGAACCCGAAACTATCTGTGGAGTCTGTAGAATGCCTGCCTCCAGTCCCTCGAGAATAACAGGATCTTTATAGTCCTCAGGAACTCACTGGAATTTGTACATTCTTCAGGCTTCTTTGTTCTGTGTTGATAAATAACACTGTATCAATATGCAGTCAGCTGCAAAGAGCAGAAAACCTATTGCTGTGTCCCTGACAGTAAGGAAAACTTACTTCAGGGTAGGTCTGGGGAAGGTACCATGCCCGGTGGCCTGTGTCTGTAGTCCCCACATGTGTGAGGCTGAGGCAGGGGGATCACTTGGGCCCAGGGGTCAGAGGCCAGCCTGGGAAATGCAGTGGCTTCATAATATCATCCCAGCTTAACTTGTGTCCTGGGTTTTCTGTCCATCCATTTTCTGCTGTGAGTTCTGTCCTCAGAGTTGAGTCTTTGTGTGACGACCTAGACACCACCTGTGTAAGAACTGTCCAAAGGTGAGAAGGGGTTGTTGACGCTCCTGCCTCTAGCTGTTCCTTTCCCTTGAGCCCTTAGTGGGTTGAGTCATCTCACTGATGAATCAAGGTTATGGTGGCCATGACGAATGCATTGTGACTGCATTAACATACCCCCCCCAGCATGGTGTGAAAATACTACCTTTAAAGCTTAGCTGCCAAAATCGGTCCTGCTAGCGGAGGGAGGGAGGATCATGTTAGAGTTGGGGGGTGCACTGATGAGAAACCGGACCCCCAGTTTATGAAGCACTTGTTAAGGGTTGGGGTTTCTGGCCAGCCAGTGTAGCCTGCTCGGTGATCTCCAGGGCAAAGAGAAAAGGTGGACGGGTCCTAAGGAACACTGGTGTCCTCTGGTCTATACACCCACACCCATGTGCATGCTCATACATGTGAACTGCACACTTATGCATGTGTGTGAGCATACATTTGTAGTACTGACTGCTCTAAGAGGTCCATTTTTTTTAGGCTAAATTATAATTCTACCAGTAATGTGCATATGAGTGTTCTATTGACTTTATGCCAGAAGAAGGCAGCAGATCCTACTATAGATGGTTGTGAACCACCATGTAGGTGCTGGGAATTGAACTTAGGACTTCTGGAGGAGCAGCTAGTGCTCTTAACCATTAAACCATCTCTCCCTTTCTTTTTTTGAAGCAGGGTCTCATGTATCCCAGGCTAGCCTGGAGTGAGCACATTAAGTAGCAGAATTAACTTGAACTTCTCATTCTCCTGCCTCCACCTCCCCAGTGATGGGGTGACACACATGCCATCACCTGTGTTCACAATTGCCTGTCACTCTAGTTCCAGGCCATTTAACTTCCTGTTCTGGCCCTGCAGGCACCATGCAAGCATGTCCACACACATATATGCAAACAAAACACTCATATACATAAAATAAAAAAATCTTTTAAAACTAAGATAGGAGAAGGAGCCCCCAGCTGGTGCTGTACACTTAAAATCCCAGGATCTGAGAGGCTGAGACAGGGGGATCATTAAGAGTTCAAGGCCAGCATCCTGTGAGACATAGAGTTCCAGAACAGCCTCACTTTGTAGTGAGACCCTATCTTTTTTCTCGAGACAGGGTTTCTGTAGCTCTGGCTGTACTGGAAATCACTATGTAGACCGGGCTGGTCTCAAACTCACAGAGATCCACCTGCTGGCTGAGATGCTATTTTTAAAAAAACGTTAAGTGTGTGGGAGAGAAGGTGTGTGGTGTCAGGCTAGTAGGATGAAAAAAATGTATGTTGTGTAATGACAGCTGAATAGGGTCACCAAGGGTTGCACAGTGGTGTCCCCACTGACGAACTCACGGCTCATGCACCTTCAGAGTGCAATACAGCCACAGTGTAAGAAAAACAACTGTGGAGCGGAGAATGCATAGCGCAATAAAAACAATAAATAAAAAACAAACGAAAAGCAGCTGTGTGGTA